GGTCGGCACTTGCGTATTGATATCACACGCCTTCTTGCCCCTCATGCCCTTGTACCTCTTGTCGACCTTCTGGAACGGGTCCGGTGCTTCCCCCTTCTTCACCTTCCATTTCTCAGTTCCCAGAACCGAATCTAGTTCCTCAACGGGCGGCAGCTTCATATACACCCAGCCGTCGTCGCGTTCCTCAACAGGGAAGGTCGCGATGTTCATGCTCTCGTCATTCGAGCACCGCCCTGCCTGCTCACCGTTGAGCTCAAAGTTGCGTTTGTGGTAAGGGCAAGAGACCCAATATCTGCCCGCATCGTCATCGCCAATCAGGCCGTCAGACAGGACGAAGGCGCGTTTGTGTGGGCACATTTGTTGCGTGGCGTAGTACTTGCCCTTGACCTTGAAGATGGCCAACTGAGTATCCCCGCGCTTGATGTTAGCCGAGGAAATCTGCGGGTGCTCATCTGAAAAGTAGTTTGCTTCGATGACAGGCTGCCATGACAGAGTCGACCACTGGTGACCCCTGAAGTCCTCGTTTGCAGAGTCCTTGGGCCAGTATGCGGGTCGCTGCTGTTCACGTTCTTTGATGACCTCAACCGTGTCGACAGTCTCGTCGCTGTTGGCGAACTGTTGAAAGTATTTGCGTCGCTTTGGATTGCGGACTGTCTCAGTCCACTCGCAAAAGTAGCTGTTCACCAATTCTTCCATCTGCTGTTCCATTTCAGCTCCTATCCCCAACTTGTCATCGATGATGACCTCTCGGAGATAGTTAATACCCCCGGGGAGGTTCTCAATCCATCGGGCAGTCCGCTGCAGTTTGTCTGCCGTTCTGATATAAAAGATGAGATACCGATCAATGATAGGAATGACTTTCTCAGGAGGCACATCTTTCGCAAGCAACTCGGAGTGCCGAGGTTTGGCGCCTCCATTGCCACCAACGAAAATGTTAAATCCTTTTTCGGTTGCAATCAATCCAAAACTGATCAGAAATTAGCTGCATGTACCTTTAGACTCTAAGAATGACCTTGTACTTACTCCTTGTTCTGAGCCTCGGCACACTCTCTGACACAGCCAGATACCGCTCCTTTGAGCTTGTGCGGTGACCGAATACTCTTGTACCGCTCCTCCAGTCGGATCGCCATTCCAACACTGTCGCCGATACCGAATCGGCACCATGTAGTTCCGACACAGCTCTGATAGAATACGTCAGCTAGGAAACATAAACTTAAACAGGTGACAGTACCTTGATTGTTCGAAGCGACTTGGCATAAGCATGACCACTCTCCATTCCCGCATCCACGAGCTCCGTCCAGATGTCAAGTAGATCTTGCTTCTTGGCACCAAACAAGTCAATACGCTGACCTCCTGTAATCTTGCAGTAGAGGTCATATTTCTTCGCCACTTGACCAATTGTGATCAGCTTATCCGCAGTGATCTCACCACCAGGGACTCGCGGAACCACAGAGAACGTTCCGTTTCTCTGGATGTTGGCAAGGAATCGGTCATTTGTCTCTTGAAGGTCATGAAGCTCCTTGTCCATGATGTGCTGGTTGAACAAACTCGAAAGAATGGATGCAATGGCAGGTTTGCAAATCTCGCAGCCAAGAGAGTCCGGCTTCCTTCCCACGGCCTGCATGACATCGACGAATGTTTTCAGTCTCTTGACAGCGATTACAGTATAGAGATCGGCTCGCGAATATGGGATGTGCATGCAGACTATATTCTGGTCAGAGCAAGTCAATGGGGTTGTTGTGTCAGGCACATACGATGGTTCGATACTTCTTGACCCATGTCCAGCATGGCCTTGTTGAAGATCGACTGCACCAAAGGCATACAGCCTCCACAACCACTTCCTGCTTTCGTGCACGACTTAATCTCACCAATAGTCTTGCATGTACCACTCTTGACATTTTCGACGATGTCCCCTTTTGTGACATTGTGGCACGAGCAAATTTGGGCGTCGTCGTCTCTGTGGTGTTCGTGTTAGTGCCGTCTTGTCCAGCATGCAAGCGGAAGACTTACAAATCATCGGCATTCTCGTCGCCGTCCTTTTGGGCTCCAAGAATAAACTGACTGGGAGGTACTTCGAGAGGCCTCTGGCTCTTGACCATCTGGTTCAATTTCACATAGTCCTTGGTGTCGCCAATCATCATACCTCCAAGCAAGTACTTCCCATCCATAGTGAACAAGTACTTCTTGTAAACTCCGGCGAATGGATCCTTGTATGTCAATGCCTTGACATTTGGTTCTTTGTCGCCATCAAAGCTCCTCACCGATCCATCGATAATCGACGGCCGTCGCCCCGGAAGGAATTTAGGCCCATCTCTGTCGGCAAAGAAGTCTCCAAAGCTGGCCACATCAACACCAAGAAGTTTTAGCTTTGTGCTCAGATCGGGGCGCTTGAAGCTTTTTGGCTCCTTATCGGGATTGGTCAAGTTGAAGGAAAGCACATCGGCCATTTCGATTCCAGGTGCGATAATTCCGAACGTCTGGTTCTCCCAGCTAGCACATTCGCCAATGGCATAGATATCGGGAATGGAAGTTTGTAAACTAATCAAGTCAGTCTGCAATAGATATCTGAAAGAACAATATGTACTGACCTTTCATTGATAACAAACCCTCCCCGTCCAGCGCACTGAATGCCGGCAGGAGGTCCCAGCTCATCTCTGGGTCGCACTCCAATCTAGAGGCAAGTTTAGCAGAGTACTGATGGTGCTCTTCTATGGAGACTTACAGCAAAACAAATACAGCAGCAGTCAATCTCTTCCCCGTCTTCAAAGATGATGCCAGTCACATTATTGTCGTCATCCGTTTTGATATTCGCGACCCGCTTCTCGTGTAATACGTCCAGGCCAAGCTCTCTTATCTTTCGGGTTACCAACGTGCCGGCGTCGCCGTCGAGCTGCCGTGCGAGAACCCACTTGTTGCGGTCAATGAGTTTGACTTTTCCAAAATCCTCGAGATCTGTCATTGCTTTGGCTGCTTCCAGGCCCAGCAAGCCTCCCCCTACAGTGACCGCGGTTTCACCTTTGTGTTTCGAAGCGAACTCGATGAGACGTTCTAGGTCTTGGATTGTTCTGTAAACAAAGATACCCTTGGCATCATAGCCAGGAGTGTGTGTGGGGAGTACTGCATCTGAGCCTGTAGCGAGGACCAGAATATCATAGGGGATGGTGTCGCCAGTTGAAGTCCTGACGGTCTTGTGGTCAGGGAAAATGTTGGTGACTTTGGTGTTGAGGTGATAGTCGAATGACCGGTCCTTGAACGACCCGTACTATGTAGTAGAGAGGAAGCTTAGTATCAGCTGGATGGAAGGCCTGGATATGTGACCGTCAAGTTCTTACCCATTCCTTGGGATTGAGGTACAAATCCTCGATCTTGCGATGCTCAAAAAAGGAGGAAAGCCCGACACGATTATAGGCAATGTGAGGCTCCTCCCCAATCACAACAATGTCGTACTTGCGTCTCTCTGCATCTTGCTTGACAATTTTCTCACTATTTGATGGTATCAGTAGTCAGTAGACAGCCCTTCTCGAGATCGTTCCTTATCCATCGAGCTGGCAACATACATAAATGAGATCGCTACCATGCCCAATCCGACGACCACAATCTTTTGCCGTCGGTTCGGGTCATTGTGACGATAATCTAGATCTCCGACAGGTTCGACTGTCGCATGGGATATGCCGTTGCTGATACTGCTGTGGACAGCATCGTTGTTTCTTGAGCTGTCGATCAACGGCATCGTGACTATTGACTAAGCCTCAATGCCAGTATTGACCACAAGTCATTACCAGGATGAACTCTCCTCTCTATCTCTTTCTAGGGGATGGCTGAGGACTTCTCTGCTCATATACAATCTACAGATCTTGCCGAGTTGGCATCCATTAAAAGGCGATCAGCTAGTTGCGTTTTATTTCTGCTAATTTTTTGGTGTCATCGGCGAACCTGCTACGATTGCGTCCACCCATGTTCAAGTCTAATCGCCGATATTCGCGGAAAGTCAAGCCATACAACATAACACAGTCATGGAGTGACTGTGCAACTGGGACAGAGTATGGCTCTCTGCGCCAAGACATGTCTTATCTTCAGGGTGGACTGATAAGGACGAAAGCGATGTCTCTTTCTATTTCCGCGGAGACTAAGCCAGCCCTTTGTCACACCTTATCTCTGCCGTGTAAGGACCCAGCCGATTATCAAAGATAAGCAGAACTGCTCTTGCCTCCACCCGATGAGTTCCAGATCGACTTCCATGGAGGGATACCGGGAGCGTATCTCGGTTGATCTGTCTATCTATGATTCTTACCATAGCCACTGAGCCAGGAAGGTGGCACGGTCAACGATGAGCTCAGAGTCGCTGGACTGGGGATGGTCCCTTACTGTTCGTCCCACCGTGGCGGATGGGAGGAATGGGCCTCTTTTTTGAAGAATTGTCTCATGATTCTTCCTAATTCCACCGCGCTCCAAGGGCACCTAACTTGTTTCCTTGCCAATAAGGATACAGGCTGCTTGATTTTCTTCCATCATAGTCCACACTGGCCCGAGAGCTCCCGTGATGGGTGACCGTTCCGTTTTCGGACGATTCGTCAAAGCTCACCGTCATACCATGGCGAATACCAGACCCAGTTCTCATTTGCACAATCGGGATCGCTGCGATCCGGGCAGGCACCCGTGGTAGCTTAAGGCTTATCTATCTGTTATCCGGCCCATTACTACCTCGAGGTCCCGCGGAGATCGTCATCGTAACATATCTGGCCTACTTCTATTCTAGCCTTTCTCCGAGGCCCTTTGTTTATACAAGCAAATATGGCAATTTGTGTGTCAAGAGAGTGTCTGACTACTGGCTTCCTCACTTGGAAACGGAATGCGTCATTTTCCTGATTCATTCCAGCCTGACTATGGTCGCCTTCTTCTGTCTGCCCTGTTCTTGAGAGATTTTTAGTCTAGAAAAGTCMGCTGTCTTCTCCGCGGTCCCTTCATTCTATACCATCATCATCAGCTGTAGTACTCAGGCGATGGCGACCATAACCCAAGTTCAGACACAGAAGACACAGACGGTCTTGCCGAAGAGCCTTACGGCAGTACCAGGCCAGATCACAGTCAAGGAAATCTCGAATGTCGACCTGCTAGATATACCCCTTCCACCGCCATCCACGAACCCGACTGAGATCCTCGCTCAAGACAAGGGCACACCAGACAATCATGTGCCTCGAGACCCTCGGCTCATCAGATTAACGGGTGTCCACCCATTCAATGTCGAACCTCCACTGACAGCCCTGTTCAATGAAGGTATGAACTGCCTTATGAAGCTCACTTTATTCCAATTGGCATGGCGCTCGGCTGACAGCCCACGTAAAGGTTTCTTGACATCACCGGAACTCTTCTACGTTAGGAACCATGGACCTGTCCCTTTGGTGCGCGACGAGGATATTCCAAACTGGGAGATCAGCATCGAAGGGTAAGTGATTGTTCGATGATGTTGTTCAAATGCCGAGGGAACTAACTGTCCGTAAAGGCTGGTTGAGCGGCCGGTCGTCTTGAACTTTCGTCAGATTTTGCAAAAATTCAATCAGATCACTGCCCCAATTACACTCGTATGCGCTGGAAACAGGCGCAAGGAGCAAAACACAGTGCGGAAATCAAAGGGTTTCTCCTGGGGACCAGCTGGTCTGTCAACTGCCCTTTTTACTGGCCCCTTGATGGCGGATGTCTTGCGGTATGCGAAGCCACTGCGCCAGGCCAAGTACGTCTGCATGGAGGGAGCAGATAAGCTGGTCAGTGCTCCTCCCGGAATTACAATGTCATTCTCTGGTCCACTGACTTTGCTATAGCCTAATGGCTACTATGGCACATCAGTCAAGCTCAACTGGGCCATGGATCCCAACAAATTGATCATGCTTGCGCATAAGATGAATGGCGAGCCTCTTCGTCCCGATCACGGTCGTCCCTTGAGAGCTGTTGTACCTGGTCAAATCGGCGGTCGAAGCGTGAAGTGGATTAAGAAACTGATCTTGACTGATGTACCCAGTGACAACTGGTACCACATCTATGACAACCGAGTATTGCCGTAAGTGGACCGAGATACCTCGGATGACCACTTGCTGAGCGTTGCAACAGAACGACCGTCTCTCCCGAAATGGCCGCTTCGGATCCGATGTGGTGGCGTGACGAACGCTATGCCATTTATGATCTCAATGTGAATTCTGCTGCTGCGTACCCTCAACACAACGAAGTCCTTGATCTTGCGACGGCTGGGGAATCCTACACCGCCAAGGGGTATGCATATGCTGGAGGAGGCCGAAGAGTCACTAGAGTCGAGATCTCGCTGAACAAAGGCAAATGTATGCTATTCAATCTATCGTCTTGTAACGAAGCTAACTTGTCTTGCAGCTTGGCGTTTGGCGAACATTCAGTATGCTGAAGACAGGTACCGCGACTTTGATGGCGAATTGTTCGGCGGCAAAGTCGACATGCCCTGGCGTGAATCATGTTACTGCTGGTGTTTCTGGTCTCTGGATATTCCTGTGTCCGATCTGGAAGCTAGCGATGCCCTGCTAGTGAGAGGTATGGATGAAGCGATGAGCGTCCAACCGCGCGACATGTACTGGTCCGTTCTCGGAATGATGAACAATCCTTGGTTCCGAGTAACGATCACAAAACAGAATGGGACCTTGTTGTTCGAACACCCCACGCACCCTGTCATGGCTGGCGGTTGGATGGAACGCGTCAAAAAGGCTGGCGGCGATCTGACCAACGGCAACTGGGGAGAGAGACAAGAAGGGGAAACATTGGTAGAACCTCAACCTGTGAAGGAAATCAACATGAAGAAGGAAGGCTTGAATCGGATTATCAGTCTCGAAGAGTTCAAGAAAAGCAATGAGGAGGGCGCGCATTGGTTTATAGTGAAGGGGGAAGTGTATGACGGAAAGCCGTTCCTTGAAGGTCACCCGGGAGGAGCACAGAGCATCGTCTCTTCCATCGGGTTGGATGTGACTGAGGATTTTTCCGAAATCCGTGAGTTCTCCGACAGCCGTCTTAGGTTTTTCCTTGAGAGAATGCAGAACTGACATCAATCACAGATAGCGAGACGGCGAAAGCAATGATGCCCAACTATCACATCGGCACAATGGAGGAGGCGTCCCTGAAGGCGCTCAAAGAAGCCGGCAAAAGAGAAGAGCCCAGCGAGCCTCGTGCACTCTTCCTCCAACCACGGTCATGGACGAAGGCGAAACTTGCAGCAAAGCGGGATGTCTCCTGGGATACACGCATCTTCACTTTCGAACTGGAACACCAGAAGCAAAAGCTGGGCCTGCCGATTGGACAACATATGATGATCAAGGTCCAGGATCCCACAACGAAAGAAACTATCATTCGATCATACACCCCGCTCTCCGATCCCAGCAAAGAGGGGTCAGTTGATGTGCTCATCAAGGTGTACTTCCCAACGCCAACCGTACCCGGTGGAAAAATGACACTGGCCCTCGACCAGCTTCCCCTGGGCTCAATGATCGAGTGTAAAGGCCCTACAGGCCGGTTCGAGTATCTCGGAAACGGCAGGGTTATCATCAGCGGTAAGGAGCGGCGCGTACGCTCCTTCAAGATGATTTGCGGCGGTACTGGTATCACCCCGATCTTTCAAGTTCTCCGCGCAGTGATGCAAGACCCTCAAGATCCCACATCGTGCGTTGTCCTCTTTGGGAACAGACAAGAGGAGGATATCCTGTGTCGAGCCGAGCTCGATGCAATTGAGGCGTCAGATAAGAACAAGTGCGCGATTGTACATACTCTCAGCAAAGCACCAGACACGTGGACTGGCCGGAGGGGACGTATCGGTGAAGCACTTCTGAAGGAGTTTGCCGCGCCTGACGATGAGAGCATGGTACTCATCTGCGGGCCTGAGCCGATGGAAAATTCTGCCAAGACGATCCTTTTAGCCCAAGGGTGGAAAGAGTCCAATCTCCATTTCTTCTAGCTTGTTTAGAAAGGCTGCGACTGTTTTTCATAGCGATCATGATTACTGAATGGAAGGCCTGGAATGCTGGCGTTCTGGGACTGCATGTATGAACAATAATTGGGAAATAACGAGGTATACGGGCTCGATTATGTCACCTCAATAGAGTTACTTGCTAGGTATTCGCACATGGGCAATCCAAATGCTATATCCTACCCAAAGACCGGAACTCTCTGTAAGTTGCTAGCTGGACACGGAACGTGGTGATGAAACCCGTGTTTCAGCCTGTTAAGGACCCGCGGACTTGGTTGATTATTGCTTCATAAATGGCTGGCCATTAGTAAAGCAGTAACCCTGGTTTGAGATACTTCGACTAAGTTTGATCGTATGCATGTGGGTTTTCGCGATGACATCGTTCAGTAGTATCTTTTCATATCTAATCGCACCAGAAGACGCTCGAAAATGCTTATAGGCTCTGCTCTCGACCTGCCAGCGAACTTGGATGAAGCCTTCACACCGTCCAACCCACGCAGGTAGCCGACAAAGGCCGAGGTCTGTTTTCGGAAGGTCGCGTAGAGGTGCGCAATTGTATTTTCGCTCTCGTGGCGAACACCCTCCAGCCCATCGAGCCGGGACAGCGGAGCAAATGTCAGAATCGTCCCGAAGATCTTCTCAAGCAATTTGGCAGCCTCAGCGTGTCTTTTGCTCAGGAATAGGGCGAAGAGCATCTGGTCGAGAGTTTCTTCGTGGTACCTCCTCAGCCAGGAAACGGAGTGTGCCGCTTCTATAACGCCGTCGATGTCGCCATGCTCAAGGCAGTATTCAATTCTCGTAAGGGTATCCTGGAATGTTTGCCAGATAGAGCCGACGCCAACGTGAAAACAATAATCGCTCACGGCAAGGACGAAATGCTGGCAGTCTATGCGGAATCGCTGAAAAAGATTTCGTGTATCTCCGGAAAGAGAGCTCCTTGCAGTCGAATCGCGAATAAGACCTCTGACAACCGAAACCATGCGGATCAGGCGTAACAAATGCTTGAATAGGCGGTCGTACTGATCCAAGGATCGCTGCGTTATAATCGTTTCCAGGACTGCGGATGGTTTATACTGAAGACGGAGAAAATCGAGTGCTTCAATAGCATTCGGATCCTTGCATTTCACAATCTCATCGTCGGTCAAGTCGCGAATTGAGAAACTCAACCCACCAGGAAGCTCCCGTTCCCTGAGAAACTCGGCATTACTTGAATTGTCTAGGCGCTCGTCCATGTTACAATCACTCAGAAGGCCGATCAATACCAGTCGCAGTTCGGAGCTTGCAGGAGGCCAAGTGTCACGATTCCCTAGGCGCAAACCGGTATGCACGCCGCTCCGTACGACACCTGATCTACGCTCACCACTCTCCATTTCGGGATCAAAAAGTGAGTGCGAGAGGCGCGAAGCAAAGAAGCCATCACCTAACAATTGAAATCGCCACTGCAGGGTGAGATGGTATCTTAATTTGTGTTCCTTGAATAAGAGGTGAAGACAGGAAAAGTCAACGAGTAAAGCTTGCGAGGATAGTAGAGGTGCCAGAGAAAGGTAGAGAGCGGATATCATTTCTGGACCAAAATCGTTTCTGGGCGGATGAATTGGTCGAGGCCTGTCCAGCGTACTTGTGTCGAACAATGGACCAAGTTCGTCGTTTTCTAAGGAAGAGTCATTCGCAAGCAATCCGGTCGTATGCTTGGAATCATCGATATCGAAGAGCTCGAAAGCACCCAAGATAGCTTGGTCGTCCCCGGCAGAACCAGACTTCTGCATATGTTCTTCTGCAAGTGCTTTATCCATCCTCACTTGCTCCGAGCGTTGGCCCCGACTGTATCTGAGGATTTCCGAGCGGAGTTCAGCCTCATATTGCTGAGCTTTCTTTTGGATTCTCTCGATGCCGGACCAACTTCCTGCACAACGCAAATTGGGACCATCTCTGTGAAGGGTCGCATCATTTGCGATTGGGTGTTGAGGATGGTATTGTCTGAGTAGCCGCAAGCTTCGACCTGTCTCGAATATCAATTCTGCTTGCTCCCCGGGGATAAAGGTCGGCATTTGCTCGGGACGATAATGATATTGCAAAGTTGCTGCTTTCGCACTTCTCGAGCCTGCTCTACCCTCGTATCGCTCTACAGCCACGAAGCCTTCACTCTTCGCAGCCATTTCCACTAATGCAGGTGTCTCAGCGCGCAGGCCAACCCAAGATTCCACGTAATGGAGCCAAGGTGCAATCACACGAGCAACAAGTTCATGAAAAAGATTTTCCATAGAGCCAAAAGCTTGAGCAAAATGAGCCGCTTTCTCAATGATTGCAGAGATCACTTGCGCATCTGACGCAGCTTTCTGGACCGCTTCGACTATGTTCGATAACGCACCGACCAGTTCACCACACCGCTGAAAAAGTGCCATGATTTGAACGAGGGACGAGACTTCCTTGAAATAGTTAATTATTTGCTTCTCAAGCGTGTAGATAATCACAGCCGCAGCACTGGCAAAAGCAGATCGAGCAGATAATTCCTTGGGCTTGATCCGAGTCCGGCGCGCAAAGTCCCTTGTGTTGTACATAGCCGTACCACAGCGGAGGACTTCCTCAGTCAGGCCATTGACAACGGTGAGGCTGACTCCAGAAACGCGGACGTTGTCAGATACCCTTTCGAACGCTTTCCGCTGCTTGTTGTAACGGAAGAATATGGAGCTCCAGCCGAGTCCTAGTCTGAATAAAGCATGGAAGAAGACATCATTCCGAGCCACACGTCCCGCGTCTTTAGATTCATTTTCAGAGTACTGGCGTGCCAAAGCTGAATCAAAGCCTTTCGCACCAGATTCGCTGAAATAAGCGGACGTCGACTCGAGAGACGATCGATCATGGTACCTCTCCCATGACCTCAGCGAAATCTCAGGAATTGTACCGTTTTGCAGGCTTTCAAGCGTCCAGATACTATCTGACTCGGCCTCAAGAATATCATCGTTCTGGTGGCTAAGGTTATCGTCTACTTGAGTATCACTGAACGCATCCGTGATTGACTCTGCCGGCTGATCGAAGAGGAAAAAGTTATGTCCTTCGATATTATCTAGCTGGGGTAACGGGTCTGCATCTTCCGCGCGTAGCTTGAGAGGGCTCTTAAAGAACCCCTCATTGAGGTCTTTCGAGGAGAAGCTGTCAGCTGCCCATAATTCGCGTCAAACAAGTGCTCATGTTAGAACGCACCAGGTAGGTTCTTATTCAATTGGAATAAATCTGACGGCTGCAAAAACTCCAAGGTAAAATTGGAAAGCCTCCACAAACTATCGCTCGAGAAAGGATCCGCGTCATACTGGCCCTGATCCATCGTCATCCATACCGTGCCATTTCACGCATATAATCCTCGACTCCTTATCAGCATCTTAAGCCTTAACGCGTTGTTGGCGCGCGATCACATGCCACTAAGCTTGAAGCGCACTAGCGCCTGCGCCCAGCCGACGCCCGGGCCACCGTTTGTTAGGGAATCCGAGGAGCAGTTGCGCGCATCGTCATACCTGACCTGAAATAACCAAGCAGGGTTCTTATTGTCCAGGCTACCTTCTGTAGCTCACTGTTTGTCGCAAGACAGTGCCGTTACGATGCCACCCAAGAAGAAACCAAAGCTGACTGATCTCCAAGCCGAATCTGCGCAGCCGGCCGCCGATACACCCGCCAGTGAGGGCGCAGGCAAACCAGACAATGGGCACGACTTGGTAGCGGATCCCTGGACAGATGAGCAGGAGACAGCTCTGCTGAAGGGGATTATCAAATGGAAGCCAGTTGGTAAGTTCCGACAATCTCTTACTCGATGTTGTCATTTTGTAACCACAAGATGAAAACCAAACTAAGCGGTGCATACATCTCAAGGCATGCACAAACACTTCCGTATGATAGCAATCTCCGAGTTCATGAAAAGCCAGGGCTACGCGCCATCGAATTGCGAGCACACACGGATACCAGGCATATGGAAGAAGCTAGGAACACTTTACAATTTGCCTGCGCTCGATGAACGTGTACGTCATGGCAGGCGCGCTCCTCCTGCTTCGATTGCAGAACTGACATATTCTTAACGATCCAGGAAGATTCGTTAATCACAGAACCCTCTGATGACCCCGACGGATCAAAAGACTTCTACTGCCCGTTTGAACTGCCCGAGGATGAGTACGGCGACTTGATGTTCGAGAGGAGGCTAGCGATGGAGGGATCCGCGTCACCTAATCCCAGTGCGCAAGCAGAGTCCAGAAGAGGCAGTACAATAGCGGATACAGATGGTGAGATATTCTCAATAAGATTACTCGCATCATTCTAATTCTCTGTTTCGCTTATTTATATAGAACCACGCTCTTCCCCAGCACCGTCACGAGGCAGAAAAGGAACCCGCAGCGCTCGCCAAGGAACGCGAGGCACCCGCTCGACGAGACTCCAGGTCGAGATTGAACCTCGTAAAGGATTAGGCACCGGCGAAGAAGACGTAGGTTCCGAGGAGACCGGGGCAAACGAAGAAGGCGACGAGGAAGGGTCAGATGGGGCGCAAGACGACAGCGAAGAGGACGAGGCGGAGGGAGACACGGGCGGCTCACCGACTACAAGGAGCACACGTGCGCAGACGACCAAATCGAGACAAAAGGGAGGCAGAGGTGGGGGAACAGGAACCAGAAGAGGTGGCCGGCGACGCTAGCATTCAGCTCCTTCGGGTCTGCTTTCATCTTTGGACATGATTTGCATTTCGATACCTTGAAAAGCTCGGAGTAGGCGTTCGGCAGGATTTATGTATGATTATGCAGAAGCCATGACGCTTGTACTACTATGATCATTTTTCCGTTAGGGTCTGGCGAATAGGGAACAAGCTTCAAATGAGGAACACGGAGTGCGTCGTCGAAGACTTGGATGTACCACTTGGTTGAAAGTACACAAGCGACAAGTGAGATCAGATGGGTATGAGAGCACAAAAGGGATGAATTTAGGTATAAGTAGCATCTTACTAAGTACATCTAAGTACATATAAAAAAGATCTAGGGTCGTTCAATGGCTAAAAGGTAGGATATTTGAGGGAATAGTACATTTCACGCCGAGTCCCTTACAGGCGCTTGCAGATAGCCTCAGCATACTCGTGGGTCTTGGCCTTGCCTCCCAGGTCACCAGTGAGAGTCTGCGATACAGCATGTCAGTATCCGAAAAGTTCCATTGGGGGTCAGAGTATCACGAGATTTCACATACCTTGCCCTCAGCCAGGGTGTCGAAAGTGGCCTTTTGAATACGAGCGGCGTGCTCGGTGAGACCCATGTGCTGCAGCATCATGATACTGGACAGGAGCAGAGCAGTAGGATTTGCGAGACCCTTGCCGGCAATGTCGGGAGCAGAGCCGTGAACGGCCTCGAAAATCGAGCACTCGTCACCAATGTTACCGGAGGGAGTGAGGCCGAGACCACCGATCAGGCCGGCGCACATGTCGGACAGAATGTCACCGTACAGGTTGGGCATGACAAGGACCTTGTCGTTGTAAGGAGTAGGATCGGTAACGATCTTCAGGCAAGAGTTGTCCAGCAGCTCAGCATCAAACTCGATATCGGGGAACTCCTTGGCGATTTCGCGGGCAGTGTTGAGGAAAAGACCATCGGACATCTTCATGATGGTGGCCTTGTGCACGACACGGACCTTCTTCTTGTTGACCGAACGAGCGTACTGGAAGGCGAAACGGAGAACCCTCTCGGAAGCTTCTCTGGTGATGAGCTTGATGCTCTGGACAACACCATCGACGACAACGTGCTCAATGCCAGAATATTCACCCTCGGTGTTCTCACGGATCAAAACAGTATCGACGTTGTCGTAAGGAGTCTTGTAACCGGCGACCGAGCGGCAGGGACGCAAGTTCGCAAACAGGTTGAAAGTACGACGGAGAGTAAGGTTAAGGGAAACGTGACCCTTGCCGACAGGAGTCTATATGATTTTATCTTAGTACTATATTTCGGTGGATCGCAAGGGCACGAGGTTTACTAACAGCAAGAGGACCCTTGAGAGCGACATAGTTCTTCTGCACACTTTTGATGGCGTCCTCGGGAATAGCGGTCTTTCCGTCCTTCAAGATGGGAGTGACGTCGACGGGCTCCCACTTGATGGGGGCCTAAAAAAAATAATTCAGTACTCAATTCTCCGGCGCGCAAGCGAATAGAAGGAGCAGGCTTTACCTTTGCGGCAGCAAAAATATCCTTCACGGACTGCGCAATTTCAGGACCGATACCGTCACCCTCAATCAGGGTGACTGTGTACTTTCCCTATCGATCAATCATCGTCAGACCTGAGCCCTTGTAATATTCTCATCTCCTCCAAAATTAATGCTTAATGGCTGCTGGAATGTCGAATATTCCACGAAGCAGTGGCGGATGTCACCGGGCCAGAGGAAAGGAAGGGTAATAGAAAAAAAAGTCGATCGAGGCATGACATACATCAGGACCTTTCTGTCCCTTGAACTTGGCGACCCGATCGTCGGCAGCGGAGGCATAACCGCGCAGCTAAATGAAAACATTAGCCTGATTAGTCCCGCAATTGAATGAAGTCGAATGGGATCGTCTGAAGCTCGTGTATTACCTGCGATAGAGGCGAAGCAAAACCTGGAGACACACGTGTTGTCCGCAGGCATTGGCGGGCCGGGGCAACGAAATTTCTGGCAGAGATCATTGTGATAGGTCCCCGGGTCAACAACCGACGTTCAGGTTTTAGAGAGAAAGGAATTGAAGATAAACAGGAAGAATGAGAGAAGAAGAAGAATACTGCGCGGTGGCGGGTCACTTGTGCGGGAACTTGGAGGCAGAGAGAAGAGGGTCTTTTTGCAACAATAATCCCGGTAACCCGAAAGCCACCACTCAGTCTTCGTCCAGCCTAGCAATGCAACCTGAGGTATCAACTACGCAAGTGGTGCGGCCGGTCCGACTGGCCCGTTCGGGAAGCCGCTAGTCCTAACCCGGTTTGACACGTGGGCGGTATGGACAGTGTTGGCGGTACTCTTTTCTTCCTTCTACGGAGTTAGCTACCTTCACTTTGTAAGGTAGCCTTTACTTTTCATATGTGGAGGATATCTGCAAAAACAGTATTTGCATTCTTCTGCCTGCTGGTTCTTGTAGGCAATTTTACTATCTTAAACCGTAATATATCACTTTCTCTACTCCATATCTCCGTACTTACTTCGCAAAGTTGTAAGCTGCTTGATGGACCTTAAAATGATGGACCTTAAAACGACCATTGAGCTAGTTACCGTCTGCCGTAGTCGCTCCACCACTGATCGTTTACTGTTCAGATTAGATAACGCTTCAGGTTGGCAACAGTCAGCAGGCATCCTTAAAAGCGCTATATATGAAGGTTTTAAGGTAAGTTTCACTTTATCTACAGGGCCATGGTACTGTAAGATGTTTCAATTTGTTCGGTACCTTCATTGCTTACTCTTGCAGTTGCGTGTATCTAGCACGAGATCGAGCTACTGATCCACCGTTTCCCCTTCAACCCTTAGCCTTGGCGATATACCAGCATGACCGACGTCGAGGTTGCGAGTTATTATAACCTTCCGTCGGCCTACCCAGAGGAATGGCCTGTTGAGCTTGATCAGAGCGAACCTTCCGACGACGAAGCTCTGGGCCGTACTCCTTCGCGAGCCAGGAGGTCCCGATACTTCGCCCTAGAACGCAGTCATAGCGGTAAGGCCCTCAGCCTTGGGTCCTTCAAAGGAAGCAATGCTAGGGAAAATCTTGCCAAGGTCGATGAACCCGATCCTCTCGGGTCTGGCGACAGCGTCCTCCAGATCCTGAAGAAACGAGGACTATCCTTAGAAGATGAATCCCGCTTACGGAACCGGTTCTTGCTTTCGTCGACCTCGTTCTCCCCCGCCCTTTTCCTCTCCCAAGTTCACTCCGATGCGTCTATTGAGTCGCTTCTCGAAGGACTCGATATCCTCTCGAAATCTATTGACCAGAAATCGGCGTCATTGAAAGTCCTCGTCGAGGCGAACTTCGAGCGCTTTGTACGGGCCAAAGCAACAATCGATAGCGTCTATACGGAGATGAGAAACCAAGGAAAAGGAAATCATGTGCCACTGGCTCAGTCACATCGTAGGTCAGCTGGACATCTTCGAAGTATTTCCGGAGCTTCGCGAAGCGCGCCTCCTGCGGATGACAGGCCCGGAAAGAATGCTCTAACAAAGGAAAGTGACTATGGCATGAAGGGAATACGGGTACCACTCTTGGAGGCCTCCGTCAAAGCCGAAGAAGTCTGGGGTCCGGCGTTGGGCGGGCGCGAGCGAGAACAGATGCTCAAGTCAGTAGTCGACACGATGGAGAAGCACCGGGATGTATACGAGATCGGTGGGCTTCTCTCGAAATCTATAAAGCAGAGGGACTACGACTCTGTATTCGAACAATATACAAAAGCAAGAACGCTCGCCAAGAGCGCTAAGCATATTGCACACAAGGCAATCAGCAGTGGGCGATCTCTGACAGACGAAGAAACGCACGCTATCCTCGCCATGGGTCGGATGTGGGTAGATGTGGACCATCAGATCCAGGCGTTCAAGCGCGATCTGTGGAGACGTCTCAGCGATGCGCCTACCACATCAATCACGGCCACTGCGGCCGGAACCGTGGAAGAATATATGGAGTTGATCGGCGCTCTGCTGGAATTGGGCGTGGATGACAACCCTATCTGGGTGTGGCTGCTCAGCCGCTATGACTTTCTCAAGACTAAGATTGGCGCCTTCTGTGGACGCTGCAAGATGGAAATCGAGATCCTCCGACGCCGGCTTGCTGGCGGCGACAAGCCCACACCCAAAGCTGTGGCATCGTATCTGCGCCTGGCACCACGGGAAGAAACAGCGGATCTGCAAGGTGTGCTAGACACTGACCAGGTAGTCGAGCTCTGGGAATGCATTCTAGCGTATCTGAACAAGTTGTTGGCGTCGCAAGGTGGGCTACTCGGCGAAGTGTTCGATTTCTGGGAGGTAGCACAATCCTTCATTGACGGTTCCAGACAAAAGCTTCTCCCGGCTGGGTTCGAAGGAGAAAGCCGCAGACATCACCGGCTCTCCGAAAGCGAGACCAGGGAGCTACAGAATGGGGTCGTGGAGTTGGTCGACCTAATTCGCGCAAATGTGCTATCGTTGTTTGCTGACGCACCTTTGGATGATGCTTCATTCCTGGCGTCTCCAATATCACCAGCAACTCCGAACAGTCCGATAAGCCAAGGCGTGACTCCCACAGAATCACGCTTCAAACTCGACCCAAAGAACATGCCAATACCCACGCCCAAGCGCGGGGAGTTCTGGGAGGACTATGCCTTCTGGCCGCCTTTCTCGAATTCACTCAGTGGTGTCCACTATCTMGGCCAATTCATGATCATTATTGGCACCGCGGCGAGCGAAATGGCTGCATTGAATCCAGTAGCAAGTGGGGGTAACACTCATGATCTCCTCAAGTCTCTGGTGAGCATTGCGCGCGAGCGCTCCGTCCGGGTTGCATGTGCGGCTTGGGGCAAAGACGCGGAGATCTGTAAAATGCTGGAAGACTGGACGCGCGATCCCGAGAGCAAGGATCTGACCAAGATGCCTGGGCTATTTGTGGCCTTTGAAAGTGCAATTCTTGGGAGGATGCAAAAGATCCTTTACATATCGGAAGCCATGGCTAAATCAGGGGCCGTGGATGTCGTGACACAACCCCCTGCCAAGCTACTCCAGATGGTCCGCACCCAATTTGTATCCAGTGTCTACAAGGCGCTCAGTGGTCTCGTGGAGAACGCGGAACATCCAGTCGTTCTGGACGAGGGTAGCGAATGGATCCTGGCCGGGTCTGCGGCACAACTCAATAGCCCTGATTCCCCTTCGCCTGCTTTGGCTGCGGATGCTGTGGACTCTCAAGATAGGGTAAGTTCTTCTCTCAGCCTGCTTCTGTCTTAACAGTGACCGCTAACATGTGTTAGAACGTGCGGATACTGCTCACGCTCTCAAATATCAAAGCCCTGCAGGCAGATTTCGTCCCACATCTAGTCACGAACTTCGAGACTGCATTTTCAGTGAAATTGACAGAAGAAGCCAAGACTATTCGCGACGTCCTAGGTCAGATCGATGACCGCCTATTTCAATCGTATACTAAGCCAACGGTCAATAAATTGAATGCCATGATTGTCAACGGCGTTACTGACCCTGAATGGGAGCCGTCCAGCGCTCGCCCAGAGCAAGTACGCCCCTATGTATATAGCGTCTTGCTCACCATTGTGCTTGTTCACACGGAGATCTCGACTACTATCCCTTCCTGTGTGGCCTCGGGAGCGAGTCGTTCACCACCCGCTGCGCCATCTCCGTTGCTGAACATGGTCCTCACACACTTGCTGACACAAATCTCCACGTCTCTCCTAAATGCGTTCAGCTCACGCCCTTCATATACCCTGGCTGCACTGATGCAGGCGACCCTTGATACTGAATTTATCGCACAGACCTTATCACAGTACTCCACGGAGGAAGCATCTACTATGCAAAGCCAGATATATGTGGAACTGGATCAGCGGACTACGCACGAAGCCAGGGCTCGGCTTCAATCAGAACTTGGCGAAATGAGGAGCATACTCAAGCGGCTTAGGGAGAGGACAAAAGGCGAATTCGCATGTTTCAAGAAACCGAGGAGTGGGACAGGGCATAGAGCAGCTTAGTTATCGTCCTGAATATTGAGGGTATAATTCATGCAAAGTTGAAGGATGAGCGTAGAAATCTCGATAAGTAACCGTAAAGAGACATATCTAATGGGTATCACAGAAAAGAAGACTTTTGTTCTTCGACCACCTCTATTTCCGTCTCCATGTGCAAGATTCGTATCTACGTTTGACCGACCATGTGCTGAATCCTGTTAAGCAAGACCTGGCTCTCCCGACCCAATCTCCTTTTGCCGTCCGGAGCAGGCTTCCTCGCTCTAGCCATGGCCTCGCGGTCTTTCTGTTTAAACTCCCGCTCTTCTCTGCGCCTCTCCGCCTCTTTCCTGCGCTTCTCCGCAATCTCCATTTCCTTTGCAAAAGCGGACGGTTTAGGTTTTCTTCTCTTCCGACGCTCATGGGTGTCATGATCCTGCGCCCGTTCAGGTCTGGGTGGCCGTTCCGGCACGGGCTCGTTCAGCATGGCCTGTCGGTCTGGATGTAGCTCCAAAGACGCCGGGGCGGGATCAACGACGTTATCGCCTTTCGCGTTTTCACTCTCCACATGTTCCTCGGTCGCATAAATGGGTCTTTTGGGTGCTGACGCGAGTTCCTCGGCTTTGATTTTGGCATAGGCCTTTTTTACTTTGGCCTTTTGGATCAGGTCGGACTTTATTTTTTGGGCTGCGATTAGGTGGAATGGTCAGTAAGCATAATTGGGTAGGAAAACAGTGGAGAGAAGCGTGAGGAGGCGATATTTACCTTTGCGACGGTAGGTCCCATCAGGCAGGTTTGCAGGGCCAACTGAGAAGCCCTTCCTCTTCTTGACCGGGGGTTCTGTGGTCCGCTTTTCTTCCGGATTGGCATCGGCGTCACGAGAGCGTTTGGCCATGGTTGATACGATAGGATTCGTAAATTATAGAATAGTTGAAGCCGTGTGTCGGGCAACAATTATTATATTGGACGTGGCGAGTGATGTGGGATTTACAATCGTAGTCGCGGCAGAGTGCCCCAAAGGGGAAATTTTCAGGCAAATTTCTCAAGCAACTTACAGATAATCAGCGATAAGCACTTCAGAAAATGATTCTGGCTCGGTATGAGATCCTCAATAACTTACAAGTTAAGACGTGCTAGCGTTTGATAGATCAAACCAAGATTGCCCAAGAGCGGGGGTTTAACAAGGGGCGATGACGATACTTGGGAGAAAATCCCGATCAAACGGTACAAACGATGATGCTGCTGATGATTCATGCTACTACTCCGCCGAGTTGCCGATGGTCTCCTCCTCCACCAAACCACGAGCCAGCATCTCTTCGCTTCGTCTGCCATTTCTTCAGTGGATCCTTTATTGTTTCATATTTCTCGGTCTTCTTCACCCTTACTGGAATCCTAGCCTTGCTGTTTCCTCCCGTCATCTTCCTTCCATGGTTGGCCCCCTTGAGCAAGTCATACTTCAACGGTCCTCATCGGCGCCGCCACCGCTCCTATCGTACCACTGCTGCAGCTACTCCGTATTTTCACTTTAATACTCTCTGTGGACTCCTTACTATTTCTGGTCGTTTGCCTTTGCGATGATTCATCCTCATCTGGTTTTATTGGGAGTTACGATCGTCGGTGACCATGCCTATCTTTCAAGACCCTGATCGTCAACGGTTCTATGACCAGTGGTCGGATGACCACCCTCAAGAGGTTGAGCAGGAAGACGGCTCTCCCTCATGGGTTCGCTGCCATGAGGACAGCAAAAGGCCTCACTCCTCTGGAAGGAGTGCGGGTGTATCGAATGAAAGCTGCATGTCAAGTCCCAATTTTTCGAGGTTGCGAGCAAGCGATCGGGAGGAGTTAATACGGTATATAAAAAGCGCCGATTCTTCAGCCTGGACCCAGCATGATTTGGTACGTTCTCTATGATTTGTCCATATATTGTAGTCCTGCGACTTTTTGATCGTCCTTTTTGGTGGCTTGCTGACCCAAGTATAATTGAATTTAGTCTCAAGAGACCGATTCCCATCCTATCAAATCATGCACATCTGACGAATGTCCACAGACGCCGAAGCGTGCGGATTCATTAAGGAACTCTATGGATATGGACCACCAGAAGGAGCCAGAGGAACTTGCTTCGCCAGCTGATATTCAACGCCCTCGCTCGGCCCTGCATTCTGGCGACTTTCGAGAAGGCATCGCTGAAGATCAGAGCCAGCACCAAGCCCCGCGCTCTCCCCATCCCAAATATCGCTCTCTCACACAGTTTTCTCAATTAAGCTCATCTCCAACCACGCCATGGTTTGCCACTCCTATCTTTTCTGCGCCTTTCCGAGGGCAGGAATTTGGTCATCAACAAGAAGAGACTACGAACCCAGGTCCGCGGTCACGAGCACCGTCTTTAGGGTCATACTCCTCCAGTTACGTCCTGAAAGCTCCGACGAGTCCATTGGTTTACCAGGCAAATAACACTGATCTGGACTTCTCACTGAAAAGTGAGTACCGCGAGCATCCTCCAGCTTCGGATAAATCCAGTCGCCGTCGCACACTGCCTCCAGAGACATTTCGGAATCTTCAAGATTCGTCTCCGTCTTATTCGCGTGTGATCAACATTAACACCGGTCATTCACCTGGAACCTTTCACGATTCATTCTCATTCCAAGCGCGTCAACCACGAAAACCATTGACCTCGTCATACAGTCTTCAGCTGGCTTCATCAGTGCAACATCCGTCCTGGAGAGCCAGGAGACCCTCACTGGCCGGCGAACTATCCTGCAAGACCCACGCGCCACTAGTAGGATCTTACGAGGAGTCGATCCTCCGCGGAAGAATGTCAATGAATCCGTCCAAACCACTCGACTTCACTGCCCAAATTGGTGTGCTAGGCAAAGGAAACTGCAAGTCGAATCTCAAATGCCCACCACACGTCACAGTTCCCTTCCCTGCGGTCTTTTACAGTTACCCTACTTCTGGAAAGGGTCGCTCCATTTCGGACGACAATCCAAGCCCCTATGTGGGTATGATCGATCTCGAGAATTCCTTACCTAAGGATAACTCATACGTCACTCGCCGCCACCGACATCACCGAAGCCCTGCTGGTGCATCCAAAGACCAAAGGACTGATGTCGACGTCGGGCCGGAATATCAGACCCAGGAAGCCCTACGCATGAGGGAGAAGCGAAATCGACGAGCGGATTCACCCAAATGCCCACCAGGCGGATGCTATCGTATACCGCAACAAGGCCAGCTGCAAATCATGATCAAGAATCCGAACAAGACGGCTGTCAAACTCTTCCTTGTACCTTACGATCTCAGCGAAATGGAGCCTGGCACCAAAACTTTCATACGCCAGAGAAGTTACTCGGCTGGCCCCATAATTGATATGCCTTTGTCCGCCAGGAAGAACCTCGGGACTGATCGACCGGAGGCGTCTTTGAGCGTATCTGAAAATCCCAATGACAAGCCTATACTACGTTATTTGATCCACTTGAATATCTGTTGTCCTTCAAAGGGTCGTTTTTATCTCTACTCGAGCATTCGTGTCGTGTTTGCAAACCGGGTGCCTGACGGTAAAGAAAAGTTGCGAAACGAGATACAACACCCCGATCCTCGGTATACACCATATAAGCCAGTCCGTGACACGAACGGTACTAATCTACATTCAAAATCGGCGAACGGGTTCCAGAAAATCGCTGTGGATCTGGCTTCATTGCCAGGTCCCAGTGCGGCAGGGGAGTGCTCTTATTTTCATCATCCTTCACACTGTCACACGATGCCTCTTATCGATTCAGTCGATGATGCAGCTACCGCAAAGCATTATTACGAGATGAGACTTCATCCTCTCCAGCGCGCCCCATCCCCTAGGGAAACCCCGTTTTCCCAGCGTACTTCTGACGACAATGCAACAGAAGCCAGGACTTATCGTAAACTCAGCAGGGGGGATCTCGGATATGGCGGTCTTCCATTCAGCAATTCTGGCATATCTGAAGCCGGGGAAAGCTTGCTTGCGAAGAGGTTGAGAGGGCTAGACGTACAAAAACATGAGTCCTCATCTCTGAATTGAGTTGTCGATGCAACACGTGCGACTATGTCATTCTCGGCGCCTGTTCCGCCATCCGAAGCTGTATTCCATCGGTATACCTTGTTCTCCCCATCTTTTATATCTTTCGTCATCCTTCCTTGTTATCCACCTTCATCTTACCATGATTAGCTTGGCCAAATCTGCACATAGCAACAGCCTCGACTAACGACACAGTACTATATTACAAGATGCGGGCATCTTTCAAATCTTCAATTGTCTTTGCTTACTCGGACTAAGTGCAAATAGACCAGGCGCTCAGGAACCACGCAATATACCCATCTTTGTTATTGCGCTCACAGTCAATCTTACATACAGCCTTCATTGTTCATAATCAGCATGAGACTCACCTCATCTTCATGCTACGTACTGACGCGTGGCTTGTCTCGTTTGGTGTTGATGCCATAAGCTCTAATCCGCTAATATTCCGTTATCCTGGAAATTCACGTATATCTTGAGGTCTACTTTTCGCTTTTGGCGTCCGGCAATGCTTCTTGGGCTGTTCACGTGATTGTTTTCTACAAAGTCGACTCAATCAACATTTTCTTTCAATGCAGATAGTATAATAAGTACCGATGGTACTTAGGGATATTTCTAGCAAGGATTGTTACAAGCCTCTTCAATTATGCTATTTTATCTACACTTGTATCTAAATACAGAATGAATATGATACGAGATCGAACCTGTGCTCGCGAACGGTCCAAATGTCCTAGTCTGTAGCCAGGGTAGATATTCGGGATTATATCCAAAAGGAACAAACGCCTAGCCTGCGTGCTCGACAATTTCGCTCACGAGAGACCCGTCTTTGACATACGACTTGATCTGTTCTGGAACTGGACACTCCTTGGTATCCTCATCGGTTCCCTCCTTAGGCGGGAGCATGATGTTGACAGCCGTGCATTTACTAGAGAAGACCTCGGTAGCCAAGCTCTGCTGTCCAAGGTAGATGGTCGCACCGTCGACTTGGTCAAGCAGAAGAGTGGGCACGACCCCGTCGATCTGCAGAGCAAATTTGGGAGACTTGATGACATCGAGGCTGCTGACAAGCGAATCCACAATGATGGAAAGACCGTGGCAGTTGTCGATGGAGATTGCGTTGGCCTTGTTGTTCACCTTCACGATAGTCTTGTTGCAACGGCTGATTAGTATAGATTGATTCTGCTGAGCGGAAATCTCGATGATGCCACCGGGGTTATCGAAATTCTCAAGGAGCCACTTGTTGCCTTCGAGCTCTTTACGTGGCGGCTTACGAGCACGCATGCTCTCCGGCTTGGGCTTCTTGCTGGGGGCAGGTGACTTGGAGCGGGAAATGCTACCCTGAGAGCTTGGGCGTTCAGGCACCGTTGCGCCCGCACGCAGGCTGGGATTCTTGTGCGTCATCTCGGATTTATCAACCTTGCGGAGTCCGGAGGTGACGGCGTCGCCTTGGTTCAGCTGGGCGAAGACTGCAGACATGTCTGGTCCCGCAGCAACGGGCACAGGAGGGGCGCCGGGTGGTGGAGGGGGGGGAGGTGGGACTCCTCCAGGGACGTTCAGAGTTGGCACCGGAGGTGGAGGAGGTGGTGGAGGTGCTGCCTGGCCGGATGCGCCGCTTTTGATTTGCCGGAGCGCTTCTTGAGCATCAATACCAGATTCCTGGTTCCAGGTGAGACCTTTGGGATAATGTTTCTTCAGGTACGCAGCTAGCGACTTGAAAATCTGGTAGTAKGCTTGGATGTACTGAATGTGAGTGTGGTCCCTGTTGCAAAGTCAGCAATCCATGGCCGACAAGCTCACAGTGGAATTCGTACTTCTCCTTGTACTCCTTCAACACCTTGTTTCCATAATACTGGATG